GTATACAGTACGCGTCATAAGTAAACCTCCTGCCTAATTTGACAACGGTTCAAAACATAATATTGTCAAAATAGATGTTGACGCATATAAGAGCAAAAGTGCAAGAGAGCAATATTGTTAACAATAAAATTTGCTACAACTTTTGTTATAAAAGATTTCTTATAGCATACTCCGATTCCCAAGTGTTACCTTTAATAACTTGAAAAAGTAACAAATTCATCAAATTTTCCTATTTTCGTATCAATCTCGATATTGACGTAACTAAGAGCAAAAGTGCAAGAGAGCAATATTGTTAACAATAAAATTTGCAACAATTTTTGTTATAAAAGTTTTCTTATAGCATACTCCGATTCCCAAGTGTTACCTTNGAGATTAACTGTTAGCGGGTATCCTAATTGGTTTTCTCCTATTACGGTTAAAACTCTTAAAGCAAAAATGAGAGCACACAAAAGGTGGAAGCGATTTGGTAATCGTGCTGATTATTTAACTTTTTCATTGCTGCGGGGTCGGGTTAAATATTTTATTGAACGAGATCATCAACAATATATACAGCGAACTGAATCGAGTATTTCAGCCAATCCCAAGTATTTTTGGTCGTACATGAGACGTAGGAATTGATCGTCTGGGGTTTCCGGGCGAGGTAATGTTGGGTGATACCATCGCTTCCGATGGTCGGTCCGTTTGTTCACTTTTCTCTCAGTATTTTTGCTCGGTGTCTGCAGCACCATCCGTCGGTGTTAGCGATGACCACATTTCGAAGGGAGCATGTTCGTTAAGTGCTGTTCGGTTGGATTTGGTGGAGGTTGATGAGGCTTTGGCTGAATTAGCAGTTGTTAAATCCAGTACCCCTAGATATAATCTTTAACTTCTCTTTAGAGCAGGGTGTTTTCCCAACTGTCTGGAAGCGTGCTCGCGTTCTGCCGATATTTAAGAAGGAAGATCGTAGTGATATGACCAATTATCGACTAATATCATTGCTGCCTATCTTTAGTAAAATTTTTGAAAAATTAATATACAAACGTATATGCTTTGCTGTCAAAACTATGATTGATCCAAGACAACACGGCTTTTTTGCCGTTGAAACCAACATGCTTGAGTACACTCACTACGTCACCGCATCTCTGCATGATTTTTATCAAGTTGATGCGGTTTACACTGATTTCACCAAAGCATTCGATCGAGTCATAATTTATTATTGAGTAAGATGGCAGGTTTTGGTATTGGTGGTCGGTTGTTGGCCTGGCTTAGGTCTTATTTGAGCGGCAGAGTTCAGGTTGTCTCTGTTGGTGGGTACTGCTCTGAGGAAGTTGTAGTGTCTTCGAGTGTGCCACAGGGGAGTCATCTTGGTACAGTTTAATATGTACATTAATGACATTTTCAGTGTCATTAGGTGGTCAAACTGTTTAATGTATGCCGATGACCTCAAAATCTTTCTTCGTGTTTCGTCACCCATGGATTGTTCCAAGTTGCAGCGCGGTGTTGATAACTTGGAGCGATATTGCCAATCAAATATGTTAACATTAAATCATTTAAAATGTAATGTAATTACTTTCAAGCGAAAAGATAATGTGATTACCTTCAATTACACATTGAATGAAGTAACTATGCCAAGAGTCCCGCATGTTAGAGATCTGGGCATTGTTATGGATGAACAATTACAGTTCGATGTTCACATTGATGGAGTGGTTAGTAAGGCTTGGCGTATGCTTGGCTTTATTACTCGTTCGACAGAACAGTTCTCAAACGTATCATCCTTTAGGGTCTTATATTATTCTTTTGTTTTTAGGGTGCTGAATTATTGTAGCGTTGTGTGGAGTCATTTATATAACTAGATTGGAAAAAATCCAAAAACGATTTTTAAAGTATTTATGTTTTAAGAGTCATCAGGATTTTGTTAATTACGAGTCCGCCTGTAGACTTTTTAATTTTGTTTCCCTTCGTGAATGGAGATTCTGCAATGATGTTTTTATGCTTTATAAGATAGTAAATGCCCGGTGTGACTCTATTGCGTTGGTTGCTGCTATAGATATACATAGTCCATCTCGCTCTCTACGTCACAAACACTTATTCTGCACATACCACGCACAAATTATTTTTATAACTCACCGATTTTTCGTATGTCGCGGGCGTCCGGCTGTATTGATGTGGACGTATTTTACCATCCATATAAGAGGTTCAGGAGCTTGGTCCTCTCGGCGGTCCGTGCCTTGGACGTTTAATGATCTTTTTGTTTTTTCGTTAACTTAATTTTGATTATTATCTTTTGTTGTTCCCCATAATAATTATAATAATGGTAATCTATTGTGTATATTATTATATATATACAGGTTGTCAAGAAACTCAACGTCAAGCGGGTACCGGGTGAGAGGCCAACCCATACCTGTTCTGGTAAAAATAAGAAAAAAATTCTATGTCTCTTAGTTAAGTGGTAATAGACACATTTTTGAAAATGTTAAAAATCGTTCCCGTACATCATATTTTTAGGTACTATGGTCAGAAATGTTCGCAATTTAATAGTGATTTGTTTAAAAATGTATTCCTAATGAACCATGCTACTATAGCAATCACAAATCGAACTACAAAAGTCGTTAGTTTTGCAAAAAAAAAGTTTTAGTTTGATTGAGTTAAGGTTGAAAGAATTTATGTCTATTAAGTTTGACACACGATTTCTAAACAAAGGAGTAGTACAACATCCTTGGCAAGTTATTTTAAAAGATGGCCTTGATATTTCAAGTATGGAAGGTCCAAAGGTAGAGGACTGGAGGCTAGCTAATCTTGTGGTGACTGAAACCAGAGTTGGAGTTCTACCGGTTTTCAAAATTTTAACAAATTTTGACAAAAATTGTACCTTGTGAGAATACCCTACTTATATTGCATAAAAATATATACCAACGATATGGCAATGTCGCTCGAGCAACGTTGCCAGATCGTTGGTATATACAGTACGCGTCATAAGTAAACCTCCTGCCTAATTTGACAACGGTTCAAAACATAATATTGTCAAAATAGATGTTAACGCATCTAAGAGCAAAAGTGCAAGAAAGCAATATTGTTAACAATAAAATTTGCTACAACTTCTGTTATAAAAGTTTTCTTATAGCAAGCTCCGATTCTCAAGTGTTACCTTTAATAACTTGAAAGAGCAACAAATTCATAAAATTTTCATATTTTCGTATCTATCTCGATATTGACGTATCTAAGAGCAAAAGTGCAAGAGAGCAATATTGTTAACAATAAAATTTGCTACAACTTTTGTTATAAAAGATTTCTTATAGCATACTCCGATTTCCAAGTGTTACCTTTAATATCTTGAAAGAGCAACAAATTTATAAAATTTTCATATTTTTGTATTTTTCTCGATATTGACGCATCTAAGAACAAAAGTGTAAGAGAGCAATATTGTTAACAATAAAATTTGCTACAACTTTTGTTTTAAAAATTTTCTTATAGCATGCTCCGAATCCCAAGTGTTACCTTTAATAACTTGAAAGAGCAAGAAATTCATAAAATTTTCTTATTTTCGTATCTATCTCGATATTGACGTAACTAAGAGCAAAAGTGCAAGAGAGTAATATTGTTAACAATAAAATTTGCTACAACTTTTGTTATAAAAGATTTTTTATAGCAAGCTCCGATTCTCAAGTGTTACCTTTAATAACTTGAAAGAGCAACAAATTCATAAAATTTTCATATTTTCGTATCTATCTCGATATTGACGTATCTAAGAGCAAAAGTGCAAGAGAGCAATATTGTTAACAATAAAATTTGCTACAATTTTTGTTATAAAAGTTTTCTTATAGCAAGCTCCGATTCTCAAGTGTTACCTTTAATAACTTGAAAGAGCAACAAATTCATAAAATTTTCATATTTTCGTATCTATCTCGATATTGACGTATCTAAGAGCAAAAGTGTAACAGAGCTATATTGTTAACAATAAAATTAGCAACAATTTTTGTTATAAAAGATTTCTTATAGCATACTCCGATTCCCAAACGTTACCTTTAATATTTTGAAAAATAAACAAATTTTCATATTTTTGTATTTTTCTCGATATTGACGCATCTAAGAGCAAAAGTGTAAGAGAGCAATATTGTAATAATAATCTTAATCTAACATTCAACAAGGTAACTTTGTAAAGGTTTTCGTGTGTAACTCATAATTTACACAGGTGTCCGGTATCTTCCACATCAAGGCATTATACGGTTGTATGATACATTATTCCGAAGCGATCTTTCTAATTGTAAATAATAATATTAATATAATTAATATAATAATATTGTCCAATAGAACGACTTTGATTCACCGAAAAAGTTTATTTCTCTTCCCGTGTCGAATCTATTGGTAAGTACACGTGAGAAATATGTTTTGATCATTAATGTTGGGCCGATTACCTGAATCTGATTTACGATTTGCCATTGGACGTCGAAAAACAGTTCCCTTTATTTATATATTTATATATAAATTTATATATTTATTTATTTATTATTATTATTATAATGCAGTTCTTGTTAATTGCCAACCTCAGTACGTCAAAGAAGGAAAAATAGACTCACCTGCAAAATCCATTTCCCTAAACTCCTTGACATATTTATTTTATAGTATAATAATTAAAATATCCTTTTAGGTCTTCATTTACAACCCGGGACTTCCTTTTGTTTTCCGGTTCAACGGCTTTAATTTAATTAACATTGGCCAATATCCTTTTATTTTTAATTCAATAATTTTTGCTTTTTCTGCTAAATATATTTGTAAACGTCCGCGACTAAATATTTTTTGTCCATCTCGACTTGAAAGTATAATAGTGTGGAATTATAACAAAAACAATAATCTCCTAAACGTGTGTGATGACAATATTTATCTATATTATGGGTAAAGCAAAGAGCTGCAAAACATTATCTAGTTTAATTTGGTGTTAAAAATAAGTAATGTATTTAGTAGGTGCTATACAATTATGCTATGCATAATATAGACAAAAAAAATTGTTGTAATTTTTTGCTTACTTTTTCTCCATAATCGCCTTCAACGGCAACGGTGGACACGTACTTCCACCCGAGAGCTTTTATGACCTCGACCATGGCTTGAGCTTGAAAGTTATCAGGTGGTACGACTCGGCTAAAGTATTCAAACCTGGACTTGTCCGAAAGCTCTGTACTTGTGGACGCGTAGCTAACTTGTGGTATCTGGAACAACCGCGATAACATTAAATCAACTATAGACCGTTTGGTATGTTTTCAAAGGAACTAAGTAAATTTTACCTTTCCCAAAGCTAACAGAAATATTACGTTTGTCGGTTTCCTTTATAAATATTACATGAAAGGAAGAATTACTTACATAAAAATTGAATTTTACCAAAATGGAATATAAAAATGATGGGGAAAAGTACTTGCAAATTGCGGGGCTTCATGAGTGTGCTCGTAGAAAAGAACCGTTGAACGACACAAGTTTCCGTCGTTAGCCAACTTATACACCAGCGGAGGGTTTAAATTAAAATTTCACCTGTGCACGAACCGACCGAAAAGTGCACTGGTAAAGCTTCGAATTGGCCAGAAATCAATATCCGAAGGTCAGTGAAATTTAAACAGAACGGTCGCATATAAGCTCAAATTTCGAATTTGTCCGCATCACCTATTGTTGTGCATGGGACGTGTGCGTATAACAATAACCAGGAAAGCTAAATGAAATACCGAATACCACTTACCTTGAATAGACGCAATATGTTCGCGACCATAATTGAAACGACGCTAAACGATGCCCCAATAACTGCTGTTACTGGTTTATAAGGGACATATACCGGCGGTTTTCCTGATTCACATTTATATTCGGACATGTCCTGCAAATAAAAAACATCCTTTTTAGTCATACTCAGGAAATTAAAATAATTTCATAAATTCATTCAATCTTTATTTAGATTGATTGAATATGATATTGAACTACAACAACATTAATAATTAAAAACAAAAAATTTTTATTTTCTCATCGAAAATAAGATCGGCATGGAATGACACAAAAAACTGACAAATAAAAATGCTGACAAGAATTACTCTCAAGAAATTAGAGAACTAGTGGCAGAAAAAAAGAAGAGCTAAAACAGATAAAGGAGTTAATAAAGCAAGTAATTTTTCATTATGGAGAGCAACAAGAAAGCTTAATGTTGAAATGAAATAAGTAATAATAAGTAGGTCTTTTGATATGATGTCAAAATCATCAAAAACCACATATTCTACGTTAACTCTTTAACATATTAAGGAAACAACGCAGAAAACACTTCCAATCAATAGATTCTCTCTATACAAGACTTGCTTACCTACACCGTGAACTCAGTCTACATTTCAACTTTCTTGAAATGGAAGAAATTATAGTTAAGATTAGGGAAGAAGCTTGCCTATGTAGTTATGATGACTTCACCAGTAAAAAACGAAAATTACACCTTTTAAGAACATAATCAAAATTCCATCAAGAATGCCTACCCTAAATTACATGAACCAAAGGCTACTCAGGCTACTCATAAAAATTATCTAGCAACAACGCGTGGAGTGCCGTATCAAGGAACACGAAAGAGACGTCCGACTAAGGAAGATCCAACAATCTGCAGGCGCAGAGCATTGCCACAAAGGAGGACACAGCATAGAGTTCGAAAAAACCAAAGTGCTGGCAAGAAACGGACATTACTTCCAAAGATTGACGAGAGAGGCGATATAGATTCATCAACATGGGAATAACATGAATAGAGAAGATGGCTGGCAACTCAGCCGCACATGGAAGATGTTGGTGAACTCAACGAAGCCTTCTCCACCCGGATTTGACAAAACAACTTAGTTGACAATTAGACACTAATTAGTTATTAATTACCTTCACTTCAAACTTGTTTCTGAAGAAGGTTGCAACATGGCATCCGAAACGTCAAACATTTTTTCAAAAAACGCACGGCTTAGCCCGGAAGATTCTAGGTCTAGTGTTAGTTCTTGTGATAGTGTTAGTTCTAGTTTTAGTTTAATTAATATCGGCTGTGAAAGCCTTCGTACTTAAATTTTCGAATTCCATAGATAAATCTAAGACAACTGTTTTGTACTCTCTGTATACTTCGCGAAGTGACCGCTTCAATAGCGCCATGATATATAGCAGACATAAAGTTAAAATGTGAGAGCACAAATGCGTCACACAAACTTATTTTCTAATAGGTCGCAAGTCGCCATATTCCTGTGGGTCACCCTGCTTAGGCAGCGGAACAACCACAGCACGCTTCCATTCCATGGGAAATACATGTTCAGTTACACAACAGTTTAGTATATGAGTTAAATATGGCAAAATAGTTGGACAAGGCATTTTGATCATGTCAATGGAGACACCATCCGCTCCAACTGCAGATGAGGCAATAGAATTAATCATCTCCAACACCAAAGAGACCTCCACTGGTTTAAAAGAAAAGTCATTTTTAAAACTAGAACTATCATAGAGATCTAAACCACGCCCTTGGAGGTCTTTAACAATTTCTTTGACACTATCCACAAAATATTCATTAATCTGATCAGGAAACTTTAAATTTGACGGCAAGGTAGCATCTTTATGTGATTTAATATTCAATGACTTCAATTTGCTCCACATTTGCCCTCCATTACTGGTCACATGAAAATCCTCGTTGGCTAAGACAAGTTGATCATCAAAAACCTTGGTCAGTTAATGTCTGGTGTGGCATTGTTGGCAATAAAATAATTTATTGATGGTAATTTGAATGGCAGAAAGTATCGGAATTTATCGGTTTTGTTGGAAGACCTTATTCTGGAGCGAAGACTTGCGCTATGGTATCAGCATGATGGATGTCCATCTCATTATGTTCTAGCCGCAAGAGTGCCCCCCTTTTCACCAAAAAAAGTTTACTTGAAACTTTTTTCGATTCGAGTTTTTGTTTTCGAGATATAAGCGTATGTCACTTTAAATAAAACACCCTGTATAGTATTTGAAAGATTGGGAAAAGTCAATTGGTGATAAAACAACGTCTGCTACATTTTCTCAGCTTGAAACATTTATCACTGGACGAATTCATGCTTTAGAAGCTATCGAGCAAATATCTGGTCACCGCAAACCTGCATCTAATCTATCTGAGGTGGCCCCTAGAATTTTTAACCAAGTTAAGACTCATGTTTCGCAATCATTACTTAATTGTGCATGCTGCAAAGGTGACCATCATATTACATCTTATCAGCAATATCTTAATAAATCTGTAGCTCAACGTAAAGAGTTCGTCATATCTAAAAGTCTTTGTTTTAATAGTCTTGGACCCCATCTATTGAAATATTGTAAAACTCAAAAACGATGCAAGCTCTGTCAAAAACAACATCATACAACGTTGCACAATAACCAAACCATCATCATCTCAACAAGAAACGATCACGCCGACCTCATCAGAATTAATTTCGTCTCAAAGTTTTATGCTATGATATCGATTATAACCAGTCTTCATGGCACCTGCTTCAAGTAATCAAGGTTCGGAGGTTTCTTTTGTTGCCGAAGCTATGGTTCAGTTGTTAAACATTTCAAGAAGTAATGCTAATATTCCAATCGTTGGTGTTAGTGCTCAAAAAGCTGGATACTCAAGAGGACTCAAACCCCGATCAAACATTTAGTACTAAAGCACTTGTTCTTAAAACTTGTTCCAACTCTTCTCAAGAACCAATAGATGTCATTCTTGGAGCAGACATATACGCTCAAATCATTGAAAATGGAATCAGAAAAGGTGACGTTAATGCACCTATTGCCCAAAAAACTCAGCTTGGTTGGATATTGTCTTGTCCTGTTAACAATACTCCATTTCATTCTGCAATTCATGGCTTTCAGTGCACACTTGATGTTGAATTAAAAGATTCGATTCAACGATTTTGGCTACAAAAACAACCCAAAGCATCAACAATCAATGATAAAACTACCACACGATCAATCATTTTGTACTCCTCACTTCTTTTTACCTCATCATGGGGTGATCAAAGAAACAAGCACAACAACAAAACTACGAGTTGTTTTTAATGGATCCCAAAAAACATCATTGGGAGTATCTCTTGACGACAATTTACATATAGGCCCAAAGCTCCAGAAAGATCTTTCAAATATTTTGATGCGTTGGAGACGGTATCACTTTGTATTCATTGCGGACATAGAGAAAATGTACCGTCAAATCATTGTCCATCCAAATGAGCTACAGTAACATATGGCTTAGCTTGTGCTCCTTCCTTGGCGATCAGGTGTCTCAAAGGATTGTCATTTGATTGCATCCATGACTCACCTCTAGCAAGTAATATAGACTTAGAAACAATAACTGCTCAAATTCTTCAGATTGACAATATTCTGAAATCAGCTGGTTTTGTAGCAAGAAAATGGATGTCCAACAATAATTTAGTGTTAAACCAATCGTCAAAAGATCAACTTGATAAAGATACTGCTCTGGTGCTCGATACTACTTCATGTAAATATAAATCCAACGATTATTCCTTGTTTAATTCAGAATTTTTTCACTCTTACAATGGAGTTATTACAAAACGCACTGTACTGTCTCAAATATCAAAAATTTTTGATCCACTCGGCTGGATTTCTCCTATTGTGATTGTCGCAAAGATATTCGTTCAAGAATTATGGACATGTCAGTTTGATTGCGATTTTGCGTTACCTCAAGATCTTTCTTCTCAGTGGCTGGATTTTCTTAATGAATTAAAATTTATTTCCGAGATATCAATCTGCGTCTAAAATCGAAGTGCAATTAAAGTTTTAGACATTTCTCATGTTCCTGTCCATTTGTGGAGTGATTCATCAATTGTTCTGGCCTGGATTCAAAGTCATCCATCCAGATGGCAGGAGTATGTCCGCAAGACTTTTCGTTGGGGCAGTAACATCACATTTCTGGAAAAGAAAACCCAGCTAATTTTGCGTCACGTGGCATCAATCCATCTAAGCTGGTGAATGAGAGGTTATGGTGGTCCGGTCCTGATTGGTTGTCCGGTACCAATTCGTCGTGGTCTTCAAAAGTTCCAACATCATTATCCAATATTCCTGAAGAATATCATAAATTTTGTGCTCTAGGCGATAGGCAGCGTGGGAGTTGATAGCACGATTTCCAGTTTAACGAGATTGCTACGCATTACATCGTGGTGTTTACGGTTTGTAAATAAGTGTCGAAAACAAAGATTGCTTTCTGTTAGTTGTTCACTTATGGCCACTGCTAAATCACAAACATCTAGAACGTAACAATTCATTATATCGTCTGTGTCCTTTTGTTGATGGGATTGGTTTTCTGCGATTATCTGGCCGTTTGAAATTTGCGAATTTGGATTGAAGTGAGGTCTCTTTGTGAAGTTTCAGCACATTACTCCATATAACAACCTGCAGATGATGACTTGCTGGAGTCGTGGATCATTTCGTATGCTTACTATGTTGTACAAAATTGTCCATATCCGTACTCCTGCTTATTTGTCTGATGCCTTTCACTTTTTAGCATCACAAGACTTGCCCACTCGATTAATGTCGAACTCTACACTCATGAACTTACTAAAATGTACCACAGATCTTTTATAGTGTAGTTGTGGAACGATTTGCCATCTGCTATCTCTTCAACTATCTTCTTCTTGACCTATATGTGTTTGTTTTCTTTTCTAGTCTGCCTTTCATCTATCTTTTACTGCACTTTTTTTGTGTCTATTTCCTTCCTTGTAGTAACTGACTGTCTGTTTTATACCATACTTATTTATTTAAAATTACATATACACTGCAACCAGTTGGGTCTCCGTTTGCTTTGATGTCTATATGAATGTATATATTTATGTAAATATTTGTTTTTGAGGTATTAAATATTATTATTATTAAAAGAAGGCTTTGACT